CTGGTTCGCTTAGCACTGTTGGGTTCGATTCGCAGTATTTCCTGTAATTTCTACTATGATGATGAAGGTATTCGACTTGTTTTTGGCCTTTGGCTTGTACCTCACACGACTATGGTGGGTGGGCTTTTGCGGCCCGTTTTCGTTTGGAGAGTCCTCAGTTCGATCGCCCGGTAGCCGTTTCTAAACGCACCTTCACCTTTCCTTGCCTATATACGGTGAGATGTTATTCCATGCATGACTAACATTGCTACGACAGTAGGTAGGTCCCCGGCCGGCGGTCACCAGTGACGCGACGTCGGCCCATTACGGCCCTCCGTGCCTGTCTCTTCTCCCGCTCGCTCCGAGTGTTAACCTTTGTCTGAAAGCGGCCCGTGTAGCATCACTAGTGGAGGCCCACCGGCCAGTGTAGATGGGCTGGCTGTAGGCTCCACACGAACACTGGGCTGTGTTTAGTGGATGATTTTGCCCGCAGTTGATTGGAGCTCGGGATATGGTGTGACGGTTATGCGCGATTGCTTTTGGTCCAAAGCTCACGCCTACCAGATTTTCTGCATCAGCGCCGAACATACCACGGTAGTTGTTACATTCTAATTTGGACCTAGTTTCGTTTCCGTCATTTACTCTGGAGTGGATGGATCTCTCTGTGCCTCCCACATTGCTGTCATCGGCCGCCCCGTTTGAGACTGATGAGCTTTCTTTGGCTATGTTGTTTCAAGCGATTTGTTTCTTGTCAGTCAGGATATATTAAGGGTCGCGTCCTGGCACCTACATCCGTTGCCTGTTGGATTTGGATGTGACATCTTTCATCCACATCACAGTGACTGTGAACGTCATTGGACCCCTTTGGTCGCATAATCATTCGTTGTCATTCAAAGCTTTCTGTTTGACAAGGCATGCTAGGGTTCCATTTTGTATTTTTACACTATTGCAAACGTACAGTTCCACCGAGTTTTAATATGCTCTTAATAGATATCACTCCAGTTGATTTTGGCGGCTCAAGCACTTGCACTTAGACCTCGGAAAAAATGCCAGTGCTGGGTGACCAAATACCTCAGTCACTCACGTTCATCATAAATACATGTACACGGCATGTGAAGACGTCTAGTGTGGCTTTTTGGTGTTGTTTTTAGCCGTGATAACCGCCATATCCACCGCTGGAGCGGCCGCCATGGCCTCCACGGGATCCGCCGCCGTATCCACTGCTGGAACCACTTCCGTAGCCTCCACGGGAACCGCCTCCATATCCACCGGTGGAACCACCTCCATACCCGCCGCTAGAGCCACCCCCGTAGCCTCCTCGGGAGCCACCTCCATACCCACCGCTGGAACCACCTCCGTAGCCCCCACGGGAGCCGCCATATCCACCGCTGGAACCACCTCCGTAGCCTCCACGGGAGCCCCCATATCCACCGCTGGAAGCACCTCCGTAGCCTCCACGGGAGCCCCCATATCCACCGCTGGAACCACCTCCGTAGCCGCCGCGGGAGCCGCCTCCGTATCCACCGCTGGAACCACCTCCGTAGCCTCCACGGGAGCCGCCTCCGTATCCACCGGTGGAACCACCTCCATACCCACCTCTGGAACCACCTCCATAGCCTCCACGGGATCCGCCTCCAAATCCGCCGCTAGAGCTACCTCCGTAGCCTCCACGGGAAGCACCTCCGTAGCCACCGCTGGAGCTTCCTCCATATCCGCCGCTAGAACCGCCTCCGTAGCCTCCACGGTTGCCGCCTCCATGGCTACTGCTGGAGACGAAGCTGACAGATCGACCACCATGGCCGCTTGAGAATCCCTTACCACCCCCGCCGCCTCCGTGGTCAGCAGAGGTGAAGGCCACCAGGGCCGCGGCGCACATCACAACACGCTGGAACAGGGAGTCGGCAATTAGTGACACGTCGCAAGGTGACACATGACACCCGAGATTGAATGTGAACAGGTGATCTGCATCTCTACCGTGGGTTTTCGCGGCAGCTGTATGAATGACCTTGTCACCATACGTTCCGATTAATGTAAACCTATGATGCTGCACCATAAATCGCGTTAACTTTCGTCTCTGCGGTCTGGCTAAAGTTTTTCCCGCTCTCGTTGGCTTCATGACCAAAATCCTGAGAGAATGTGTTCTCTCTTCAGCTGGTCTTAGCCACGCTAGGCCCGTTCTACTGACCAGGATCGCCATGGTTGTTGTCGGTGTCACAGTCCCCGTCGACTGTGCTTCGTTGCAGTTTGCGGCTGCTTTTATAGCGGTGGGCCGACGGGTTTTCTGCGCACTCTCTGTGTTCCAGGGTCAAGTGTGCGGCGCCGGCCGACGGCATTGGCCGCCATGCTTATCTGGTATCACATGATGCGCTGGGATTGTGCCGGGTTTTGGGTGATGACGGTCCTCTAGTCGCCCGGTAGAGTGCAGAGGAAATGCAATTGGGGACTGTCTTAAATAAGTTATGGAGTGCATTTGCGGGGAGCATTACGTACATGGATAGGACAGTACTAATAGGGTTATCCCTCGCGGAATAACCAGGAGAATGGAAGGGGTTACGTGGGTTGATATTTCGGCTACATGCATTCATAGAACCATCAATCCATCATCGCTACATGTACGTCACCAATGTACACCACTCCATTCTCCTGGTCATTCTACGTGGAATAAGGCTACAGGTCCTGGCTTATCAAGGGGCTATCCTTACGAAGACGTGATTTGCACGGTTGTAGTCAATTCGAGATGATGGACACCGTGCGTTACGTTTCCGATTTTTTATCGAAATGAATTGAACAACGTGCTTTGCACATATTAGATAACTAAGACATTCAATATACATGTCTTGAAAAGTAGTATTATTGCATAACGGTCTTGAGGCGTTTTCACGATGGATTACGGTGCGAAACTTTCCAGAACGTTTTCATTTCTTATTGTTTATAGAACTTTTCTGTTGATTTTGGGCCAGACATGTCTTACACGTATTTAAAAACGTGATTTAGACGCATGTCTTGAAACCTTTGCGGTTGACTGGCTGTAGGCAAGATCATGATTTTATGGGCAGGATAATGCCAGGTAGTTTTCTTCCGAAGCTTTCCGAAGCTTTTAAAAGCATTTAGTGGCATGAGGGACGCAGATTTGACAAAACAAACTCATATATTCTTGCCGTGCCTCTTGTTACGTGTGCGGTACCGGAGACCTTACACGCCTAAACATGATACACGATGATCATTGAATGGGATAGTCTACAAAGCTCGTCTTACTCCATGCAACGCCGATGTAAACAATAATATAAGCGCGCGGCCAGCCTCCAGCAACCTGGGCCTGTCCACCCAGCCGATTGTCCGGCCTGGTATTCTCTTATAACTGAGGTGAACTGGTGACATGGAGTGAATGAAAAACGTATATGAACAGAGTGGTTTGATAAAAAAAACGTATTCTCAGCTGTAAGCACCCGGGTTAGTTGTTGTATGCCAGTGAAGTGGCAGGAACTTGTATGAAAACAGTTATTTTTTCCGGACTGTTTACTATACACTAACAGTTTACGGAAATAAGTTGAAAACAGTTCTAGAAACTTTTCAGCGCCTCAATCGATCGTGGAAACGACAGTTCAGAAACTTTTGAGTCCGCATGAAATTAGAATCGTTGAATGGTCGAAATCAGCAGAGTAGCGACAGCCGTTTTGTCGTAGTGGTGTAAAACATTCCATAATATTAATGGACGTGCCCAGCACTATTTTTTTTTACAGAACTGTTGCTTTACAGTTGTACCTGATTCCTCAAAACAACATGAAAGTTAAGGAAAGCGCTGATAGATTCTTCGAAGGAGCTCCTCGGTCTCCATAAAATCATATATGGCTTATCTTTCCTTTTTCTATAAATTTGGCGGAACCATTGCAGTGCTAAAGCAAAACAAACAAAAAAACACACACATTATTGCCTGGCGAGGACGCATGGCGTGTAGTTTGTTTTTGTTGACGCTAAAGAGCCTCTTCTGATTAGCTTGATTAACATATAGCTCTGACAATTTACGTTTGAGTGATGTGAACGTCGGAACAAATCGCGATTTCTTCGACGATACGCGCCGGCAGGTTACTGCCTTGTGCAGAAAGCCGATATTTGGCGAAAAGGATTTTTAGTGTCCTGACCCCTGCCATAAAAACAAACATTTACAGTATACACTGACGGCTGGGTTGCCAAAGCCGGGTGAGTGGGATACAAGACGACGATCCGTCGATATGAATCGTCTTTCGTCTAAGCGCCGCCATCATTTTATATTTTCTGACATGACAGCTGTGTATTCACCATGTAACCGATTCTAAGTGCATAGTAAATGTCATAGACAGGTGCGCAGTCGGGCTGCGTGGTGACGGAGGGACAGGCACCGGCTGGCTTGCTGCGAAGTCAGCTGGCACAGTCGCAGGCAATATGGGAGGAATTGCCTCCCCGCTTTTACCTCTACGGCATTTGGTAAAGCAAAAAATCCACTAGTAATAAAGCATGAAAGTCGGGAAACAACTGCATAGCAACAATGAAATGTGCAGGGCTTTGCTGCAGGCTTCAGTCTGAGAGTTGTTTTGCCGCAGCACACAGTTAGAATCGTCTAACGAGGCTGCTGGTGCTACATGATGGTGCGGAATTAAGACAACTTCGATTTCGTCACAGGTGAACGCGCACAGTTCTCATCGATCCACATATGTCCGAAAGTAGTGCATGTAACAGCCATTGGCGACCAGACAAGGTACGCCGCAACCACTTACAGTGACACAAGTCTCATGGGACTTTGCTGGGAATTTCATCGAGTGTGCCATGGACACCACAAGTTGTCGCCAATGGTCTCGGCACGAGTGAGGGTATCTGGAGAAATGGTGTCGGTGTTCTGGCGCCAGCTGACCCCGCCCCATGAGCGCCGCACCACAGGGCGTCGCTACCGGGGCGTCTGCTGCGTCGTGACCTGGACCAGTGCCATGGGTCAGGTCACGTCGGGTCGGATCGGGCCGACCCGTGACTGTGTGCCGCTGTCTCCACAGACATCGCGTACCTACAGTCGGTGCTGCCCGACAGCGTGGAGCCCGAGTTCTTCGACTTCTTGCGCCAGCTGACCGCCGAGGACGTGGTAGTGCACGCGCTCGACGAGGGCGAAGTGGCCTTTCCCAGGTGAGGCTCCCACTGCGTTTAGCAAGGATGAGGCGATGCTCCGCAGGTGAGGCTCCCAGGCTTGTACGCGATGGTGCGGTGGTGCTCCGTGGGTGAGGTTCCTAGGTCTGTTGGCAACGGTGAGATGGTGCCCCGCAGGTGAGGCTTCGAGGCCTGTTAGAGATGGTGAGGTGGTGCCCCGCAAATGAGGGCTCCCAACGCTAGTGACGAAGGCGGGTTGGTGTTTCCAGGTGAGGGCTCTCAGCACTATCGCAGCTGGCAGTTCGCCACCCATGTTCCTCCCCGACAAAGCCATGTTGGCCTGTTGCGCGCACGAGTGCAGTGCCGGAGAGGTCGCGTAGCCTCGCCGCGTGTCGTCGCACAGGCGCTGGGGTCTGGGGGCGGTCAGGCGGCCATGCCCCGCCCACCGCAGCGCCGCGCCGCGCCGCGCAATGCCCGGGCGTTACTGCGGCACGTTGGCGATCTGGTGCCCACTGCACGGGAAGGCCAGGCCGCGTGACTGGCCTCATTGGGTTCGTGAGGGCAGCGCGGCCCCCGGCCAGCTGTTGCGCGACCCTGTCGGCTGACCACTTTTTGTCTTGGGGGTCGACTGCATGCGCGATGACGTTCTCTGTTCAGTTGCCATGCAACGGCCGTTGCACAACGCGATGCTCTGGGCTTCAAGTCATGCGACGCGGGCCTGTCCACCGTCTGTCTTTTTTGGAGCGCTGCGACACTAATGGAGTGGCATATGCCATGTGACATCATCTGTCGGCGTGCGACTCATATTTCAGTGTTGACCGATCTGGAATAGTGTACCGCGGCTCATGACGTCATGTGGTGTACCGCCAACGACTGACACCACGTTGTACATGTCGACCGACTGGCGTCAGTCTATTTACCGCTCCTTACTGAGGTCACGCCGTGCAGCTCCCCATACGGACGTCGCGTCACGTACCCTGGCTCACTGACATCCCACCACGCGCTCTGCAGACTGACACCACACCAGGTGCCTCCACTGGTTGATGCCACGCACACTGCAATGCCATGGGGCTGCCAATGACTGACATGCCGCCGTCAGGGTGCCGTAGAGCGCCTCATCAGACGTGTCGTCACCCCCGGCCGGGCCGGTAACTGACGTGACGTGACGCTGCCCCCCCCCCTCAGGGTGCCATAGGGCGCCTCATCCGACGTGTCGTCACCCCCGGCCGGTAACATGTGACGTGACGCCGCCCCCGTCAGGGTGCCAAGTGCGCCTCATCAGACGTATCGTCACCCCCGGCCGGTAACTGACGTGACGTGACGCCGCCCCCCGTCAGGGTGCCAGGGCGCCTCATCAGACCTGTCGTCACCCCCGGCCGATAACTGACGTGTGTGACGCCGCCCCCCGTCAGGTGCCATAGGGCGCCTCAACAGACCTGTCGTCACCCCCGGCCGATAACTGACGTGACGTGACGCCGCCCCCCGTCAGGGTGCCATAGGGCGCCTCATCGACGTGTCGTCACCCCCGGCCGGTAACTGACGTGTCGTGACGCCGCCCCCCGTCAGGGTGCCATAGGGCGCCTCAACAGACGTGTCGTCACCCCGGCCGATAACTGACGTGTCGTGACGCCGCCCCCCGTCAGGGTGCCATAGGGCGCCTCATCCGACGTGTCGTCACCCCCCCGGTAACTGACGTGACGTGACGCCGCCCCCCGTCAGGGTGCCATAGGGCGCCTCATCCGACGTGTCGTCCCCCCCCCCCCCCCCCCCCGGCCGGTAACTGACGTGACGTGACGCCGCCCCCCGTCAGGGTGCCATAGGGCGCCTCATCCGACCTGTCGTCACCCCCGGCCGGTAACTGACGTGTCGTCGCCCCCGGCCGGTAACTGACGTGACGTGACGCCGCCCCCCGTCAGGGTGCCGTAGGGCGCCTCATCAGACCTGTCGTCACCCCCGGCCGGTAACTGACGTGACGTGACGCCGCCCCCCGTCAGGGTGCCATAGGGCGCCTCATCCGACGTGTCGTCACCCCCGGCCGGTAACTGACGTGACGTGACGCCGCCCCCCGTCAGGGTGCCGCTGCTGGTGGTGGAGGGGCCGCTGATCGTCTGCCAGCTGCTGGAAACGACCCTGCTGACGCTGGTCAACTTCGCCAGGTGAGCGGCCGCCTCGGCCGGCTGACCTCTCGGAGGTGTGGACGCACGGCGACGGCGGCGGCCGCAGCGGTGCCGCCACCGACTGCTGGCAGCGTTGGTGTGCTGAGCAGGCTTGTGTACAGGTCTGTGGCTGAGCAGTGGAGCCGACGTTATCAGATATTGTAATGTGACCAGGGCGGCGAAGATTCTGCCTGGCGCCGCCGTGTGGTCGGGTTTGTGCCCAGTTGAACGGCATCGAAGTCGCTTGGTGCTGAGATGGGCTGGGTCTGCGCAGGCGTGAAGGGTTGAGTCAGCATAGCCCCGGTCGGTCCATCCGAGACGGGCACCGGCGGGCTGAAAACGTGACCTGACCGGCTGCAACTGACGCCTCAGGGACGGCACAGGCGTCGGGGGAAGGGTGCCCTTAACGACCATCACTGGCGGTGGCCTGCCGTACAATGATGACCGACTGACCTGGATGGGCCGGCCCGTGCCGGTCACGGTCACGCGCGACCGTGCCAGGCGCTCGCCTCAGCCTGTCTAATCGATGCTGGGCGCCGGCTCTGCCCTGTCGGCATCCGGCGCCGCGTTTGCGTGTCTGGGATGCGGCGGCGGCGCTGCCCACCGCCGCCAGGGATGCCCCGCCGACCTTGTTTGTTCCGAAGTCGGAAGCGGTAGGCACTGGCACGCGAACGGCTTGAGGCTCTTCGATTACGCTGACTGACAAGGTCGCGTCCGTTCTGGATGATGGATGATCGACGGGGGGACCGACTATGAGCCACAGATGCACGACAGCGATGGCCGCCCTAGTCGCTGCTGTGATGAGCCTGCAGTGCCGAGTCTTTCACTGTAATCGTGCGGGCCGTGCGACGTGTGCATATTGCAGTGACCCTGCCCCGCAGCCGGCGTGCGAGTCAGCGCGCTGCTGGCTCGCACGCCGGCCGGCTTACCGTCTGGTGGCCCTGTAGGGGCCGGCATGCTGTCTGGTCGGCTCTGTGGGCCGGTATACCGTCTGGTGGCTCTGGGGGCCGGCATACTGTCTGGTGGCTCTGTGGGCCGGTATCCCTGTGGGCCGCACACTGTCTAGTCGGCTCTGTAGGCCGGTATGCTGTCTGGTCGGCTCTGTGGGCCGGCATACCGTCTGGTGGCTTTGTAGGCCGGCATACTGTCTGGTGGCTTCATGGGCCGGCATACCGTCTGGTGGCTCCGTGGGCCGCATATTGTCTAGTCGACTCTGTAGGCCGGCACTCTGTCTGGTCGGCTCCGTGTGCCAGCATACCGTCTGGTGCCTCCGTGCGCCGGTACACCATCTGACCGAGCGCTGCCGTGTGCCACCGGCAGTCTGATGGCGACCAACGCCGCCCGCTACCGCATGGCGGCCGGGCTGGAGATCCGCCTGCTCGAGTTCGGCCTGCGGCGCTCGCAGGGGCCCGACGGCGGCCTGTCCGCCTCCAAGTACGCCTACATGGGTGAGCGCTGCGTGGACACGACCGCTGGGCTGCGCGCGCGGGCCGCCGGGGCCGAGGGCAGCGGGCGTCGCTCAGTAGCACCTGGAGCGCTAGGCGTCCGAGTGGCATGACTTATTTCAGGGAAGGGAAGGCAGGCGCTGCATGCAGGGCTGCTGACTTTGAATACGCAGTGTGTACAGCGCGTACTTTAGGCGTGCGCTTTGTAATGAGGTCTTGCTAGAGTTATGATCTAAGTTACATAGATAATCGCCCACTCTCTGCCGAGTCTGACCTCCCGCTCTCATCTCGAGTCTGACGTCCCGGAGTCTGACCACCCTCTCTCCGCCGAGTCTGACCTCCCGCCCTCCCCCGAGTCCGACCACACGCTTTCCGCAAAGTCTGACCACTCTCTCCGCCGAATCTGACCTCCCGCCCTCCCCCGTGTCCGATCACCCTCTCTCCGCCGAGTCTGGCCACCCTCTCCGCCGAATCTGACCTCCCGCGCTCCGCCGAGTCTGACCACGCGCCCTCCCCAAGTCTGACCTCCCGCCCTCCCCTGCTCCGACCTGGCCTCCCCCGAGTCTGACTGCCCGCTCTCCGCCGAGTCTGACCACCCGCTGTCCCCCAAGTTTGACCTCCCGCCCTCTCTCGAGTGTGACCTCCAGCTCTCCCCCGAGTCTGACCACCCGCTCTTCGCCCTCGGCAGGCGGCTTCGACGGCACGAGCAACGTGCTCGCCGGCAAGCTCTTCAACATCCCTGTGAATGGGACGCACGCGCACGCCTACGTGACTTCGTTCTCGGAGCTGGATGAGCTGCAGAACAAGGTGTGGGCGAGGGTGCCGGGCCGCGGCTTGGGCCCCGGGCCGGGTCAGCCCACTGGTGCCGTGGCTTGTGCCACTGGCGTTGACGGCGATCGTTGGCTGCCACTGCTGGCTTATGCGGTGTGCGGCGCAATCAAGCGCCGCCCATCGCAGATGAGCCCCACCGTGTCATCGGGTCAAAGTGTATGCGCTGCTGGTGGTATAAGCCGGCAGCGCAGTAATTGCCTCAGAGCATGAGTTGGTCAGTGCTTCGCTGCATGGGCCTCTGTGCGGCGCAATGAGAGGGTTTTATTAGAGTATGCAAAGTATTGGAGTGACGTGCCTCCGCATCGACTTTCTACGCCAGTGACGTCACACAGGCCGTGCGTGCCAGAAAGATGGACCCAAAAGATGGACGTGCGCGTGTGCTGTGGTCAACCGTTGTGCGCGCATGTAACGTGCCGAAAAAATCCCCACATTGACATGTTGTAATCGGTCTTTAAACGCCACGGAATTTGAAATGCGGCGGCATTCGTGTGCTCGTGTGGTTTTCCCCTAGTGTGTTCTGTGAACTTCATGTCGTAGAGTAAAAGTGCATATGTATGCATGCTGCATTTCTGGTGTATTGAAACTAATCAGTAATGTTCAGAGGTAGCAGTCATGTTTTGTGAACATTTTACCAGTCGGCTCTGATGGTGGGGTGGCCGTTCATGGTTTGTTTCCGGATGCAGTAAAACAAAAACATCAAAAAACAAAAAACGGACGTTGACTTTGTGCTTATTGTGTTGTGCCGACTTGGAACATCATCATAGGCTCTGTATCAACAGATGGCATGTATCGTCTCAGAGCACTTATTATTAGCAATGCGGCCTAACTTGTTGAGTTATTAACAAGCTACGAACGCGTAATGTCTTCAGCTTAACATGTTTCACTTGATTTTTAATTTTTGGCACTACCCAAATGTTATCACTTCTTCCGCAGCGTTTTACGTGCAGTAAAAAAAACACCTTAAGCAGAGCTTGATAGTATGCAATTGCCCATGTTTGGTTTTAATGCTCAGCTTATTTTCTGCGAATGGCTAGGGTCAAATCTCTCCATGGTAAGACAGCAGCAGATCGTTGATGCTGTTTTGTGATGATGCACCGGATGTTTTGTCTGTGTTGACAGTGCCTGGTCCCCAACGGGGGCGGGGAGCCAGTGGATATTCTGGCACTGGCTCTCGCCTGGCGGGAGAAGCTGGCACTTCTGTTTATGGTTCTTCCGGAAGAGGCCTCTACTGGCGAGCTGGCTGCGTTCCTTAGCTTCGCCATGGCCTATCCGAATGGATTCTTGGCCCTTATTGACACGTATGAGGTTTACAGGTTCGCTCGCTTTTTATATGTTCTTTTTGTTCGTAGTTAGATCTGGTGAGTCTCAAACACTCCGGCAAATGGCGGGAATGTGTGAAGATTGCTTCACACTGTACTCTGTCTGCTATAAAGGAATTAAATTCAAAGTATCTGATACAGTGATCACGCTGATTTTAATCTGCTCAATGTGGAATTTTTGCGTAATAATATAGCTCATGTTGTGAGGTGCTGAGTTAATCAGAACAGTTGTTGAGTTTGGTGGATATTGCTATCTTGCTCTTGTAAATGAATATAAACTGATAACATGTACATACCGGCGAAGTGCCGCTGTATCCGTGTCGGTAACCTTGCTGCCTGCCGACGCTGGCCACCAGATCGATCATTGTTTCGCACCAAAAGTGCCTTGCTCACCGGCGCCCGATGTCCCGTTTCCAGTAGCCGTTATCACACCGCTAGCTGCAGCACATCTGTAGCGCTAGTGTAGGGCCAGAACGTTTAGCCAGCCGTTCTCTCGACACCAAACGAGCCCGGCAGCGTCGGCCGACTCGAAACTCAGCCACTCGGGCGCGGCGCATGCACTAAAACCACCCGGGGTCGTTTGTACGGGCCGGAGCGCACGGGTGTCGGCGTCGGAGGTGGGCGCGTGCGCATGTCTGGTGTTGCCGTTCCGGTGTGGCGGTGGAGGACCCCGCTCGCGGCCGCGTTTCGGGTGTCACACAGCAGACCGGAGGGTCGTCTGAGCGGCGCCGCCGTCGGCGGGTGCGCTGTGACCGGCCCCCAGGCGGCCCGCCGTGACCGACCCGCCGCCGTCCCGGCGCCGCCGCAGGTCGGGACTGCTGAACTTCTGCGCCGTGGCGCTGGCGCTGCACGAGCTGAACTACCGGGCGCTGGGCGTGCGCATCGACAGCGGCGACCTGGCCTATCTGTCGCGCACCGCCCGCGACATGTTCGAGAAGATCAGCAGGGAGTGAGTGCCGACGCGCCGGGTCGTCCTCTGGCGCGGATGGGAGAGTGCACGCCGTGGCCGCGCGGCGGCACGCACGATAGATGGCGTGCTGGCTCCGCTCGCAGCTCTGAGCACACGCAGGGAGTCGCGATGCGGGTCACAAGTGTGAAGTGTGCCTAGCCCCGTGATATTGGCGGATTCTGGCGCGTCGCTGTGGCCGTGTCGCGGACTGGAACAGCTGACGGCGCCGTGCTGGGGCGGGTGACTGGTTCAATGCAGCCAAACGGGATAAGTCATAGACAACGAGTCATCAGTGCGGATCAGGGGGGACCGTGCCACGTTCGGTCGCTGCGCGCGGCCCAGCCCGGCCGCCGCTTAGCGGCCGGGCTGGGCCGTGCCTTGTGTCTGTGTGTGTCTGTGTGGCCGTCCGTAAATATTACACCAGCGGTATATGCGACGTGATAAGGTTGCAAGTACACTACGTTGACATGGCATGTGCACGACATGCTATGTTGACGTATCTTGACACCTAGTGACATGTGCGAAACGCCGGGCCAAGCGTGAACCGTAACGTCGCCTCGGAATGACGGCTGTCTAGCAGCCAGCAGCAAGCAAGTCTGATCGCCCGCTGCCCGCTGCCAGGTACGACATTCCATGGTTCGCCACGCTGACGATCGTCGCCTCCAACGACATCAACGAGGAGACCATCATATCGCTGAACGAGCAGGAACACAGCATCAACTGCTTCGGCATCGGCACCCACCTGGGTGAGTCACGGGCGGGGCTGCATGTAGCGCCGGCCATTGTCGGCTCAGTGATTACCGCGCGACGCTGTGTGTCTGTCCATGCGCTGCGGCCTCGCATTGACATGTCCTGCCACGGACGACGCTTTGGCGCCAAGTTAAACCGTTACTGGTTCCATCGGTGTGCATCGTGGCATTGCTAATGCCCTCTGATGGTCCGTTTTAGATCCATCGACTGCTCTGTGATAAATTTCGCAGGTAGTTAGCTCTGAGGACACATAAAAGTAGACGTATCACTAGGTCACTGACCTGCATGAGGGATGCGGGACTGCGGCTGGGGAGCTCCATCTGCAGCTGGCCGCCGAGCCGTAATCGGCCTTGTCGGGCCAGTGACGGATCAGACTGACGCCGTCCGCCGCCAGTGACTTGTCAACGCCAGCCGGCCCTGGGCTGCGTCTACAAGCTGGTGGAGATCAACGGCAAGCCACGCATGAAGCTCAGCCAGGAGGTGGAGAAGGTCACCATTCCGGGCCGCTCGGCCTGCTACCGGCTCTTCGGCAAGGACGGTACGTAACCAGAGAGCGTACTCCGGGCTCTGACCGTTGTTGCCTGCTCGTCAGGGACGGTACGTATCCAGACAGCGTGCTCTGTTCTTCGGCCGTTGTTTCCTGCTCGTCAGGGACGGTACGCATCCAGACAGCGTGCTCTGTTCTTCGGCCGTTGTTGCCTGCTCGTCAGGGACGTTACGTATCCCCAGAACTCGACCCACCTCTGTCGTGCGGGGCGGTGTCTGTTCAGTGGCGCTGTGGTGCTAACTCTGCTGTGACTCTCCTGTCCGACAAGGACTATGCATAGGATGTGGATGTGCGACCGACAGGTTGCGCTGGAGGTAGCCCGATGCTAACGGCATCGACTATGTGCCTTTCCGTTGGCATCGGTGGGTTGAAGAGTTGCGTGTTTCCGTTCCATATGTGGCCACCACGGCGTGGATGCGGACCTGATGTGAGCTGCTTCCGGACTATGAACGGGCTTCCATCCGCGTAGTATTGTGTGTTTTGCCTGCTTTGTAGTTCTGCTGAAACATGTGCATCGATGCTTAGCGTTATGAATCAGGCATAACTGACTTTGTATGATAGAATGACAACTGGCGGAAGACGCCAACAGGATTAACCAACCAACCGCATTCATCATCACTTCCGCTTCGTCGTGCGCGAAGCCCCAATTTGGTATGTTTGTACAAGCTTTGTATTACGGAGTCATGTTTCAACTCGCTTTTGCCTCGATTCAAAACGCTTCAGGTTCCACGCGTAAACACGCGTAAATGTCGGGTCAGTCGTCAGCTAGCTGGCTAACGTTGCTGTCGACAATGACATGGAGCTCTCGGGGCCAGTTTCGGTCGTTAATGGGTTGATAAAGGAAGGCGTCCTTTACCACTCCCTGATATCAGTCACCGGAGATTCCAGCCCAGTTTATGCTATCATACTGAGCGGTCGTCATCTGAGCGTACTTATAAACAAAGTCTAAGTAGACATTACGGGTCGGCTTGTGGGAATTCAGAATATAAACAGCCATAATCTGCGTTCACGCGAGGAAAAAGCGTCATCTAAAATGTTGCATTTATTTCAATCTACCCATCTCTAGCCCCCAATAAGGCACGTAGAACTGAACTTCGGTGTTGCCTCAAATCAATAAACGACGAGCACACCCCAAAAATTCAAAAAGATCAGACGTGAAAAGGAGAAAACGCCAACATCCACGGCATGGGCATCACAGTTGGGCGTAAACAGCCACATGAGACTAGCTAGTGCAGGTGCATGCAGTCACGACCGCGCGTGCGCATCCGTATAACGACTTTGAGCGTCACAAGCCCGCGGACACCGCAGGAGCTGTCCATACTGCTATGAGTCGTGCCCGCCGCCGAAGAAGAACTGACACTCGAGCGGCCCGTCGCCGGCCAGGTCCGTGCAGTGGAGCGCGTTACGCACTTTATCGCGGCCGAAGCGGGCGCGCAGCGAGCCGGGCCGCAGCAGGGCTGCCACGGCCGGGTCGCGCGGCCCCGTCAGCCGCCGGAACTCCTCCAGCGCGTCGGCGCCATGGCAGGGCCAGCTGAGCGCGAGCGCCACGGCCGGGCCGGCGGCCAGCTCGGCCGCCAGCGCCGGGAACTCGGCCACGGCGCCGCGGTACGGCTCCAGGAAGGTGCGCGCCTCGCCCGCCGTCAGGTGGACCAGTTCGAGTCCCGTGACGCGCAGGTCGTCGTCGGCCGACTGCACGGCCGCCAGCAGCTGGCCCAGCAGGCCGTCGCGCACGATGTGCGGCTTAATGACGGCGCACGTGCACGACTCGCTCAGCTCGGCCGACGTGCGTGGCCGCTCGCCTTCGGCAGGAAAGAAGAGCGCCACCTCGCGGTCGGCCGCTTCGGCGCCGTCCGAGCCGTGCACGGCGTTGTTGGTCTTGTCGGTGCCGAAGTGCGCGCGCAGCGACTCGGGTGCGTCGCGGCGCGCGGCCTCCGAGTCTGTGGGCCCGATCATCTGGCGCCAGCGCGCCACTGCGTCCCGACCCAGCAGCTCCAGACCCACCACTGGCCCTGACGTGATGTAGCCGACCAGGTCGGCGAAGAAGGATCGGCTGGCGTGCTCCTGGTAGAACGTCTCCGCCTCGCTCTTGGTGAGCTGCACCATTCGCGCCTTGATGACGCGCAGGCCGTGCAGCGTCACGGCGTGCAAGATGTTGCCCAGGTTGCGGACGCCGTCCGGCTTGACCATGGCGAAGGTGTGCTGCGTGCGCTCGCTGAGCAGGCGCCGCGTCATCTCGTTGCCATAGTCTGCAATCTGCACCTGACGGCCGAACACGTTGATGCGGTTGCCCACCCAGAAGTCGTCGGCCGTTACGTCGTCGACGAACGAGCGGCGCAGGAACATGCGCTGCAGCTTCGGCTCAAACAGCTCCACCGAGTTGTCGTCTACGAAGTAGGAGAGCACGAAGTGGCGCATGAGGGAGGCGCGCTCGTCCAGCCAGCGCGCAGAGAACACCAGCCGATCGTCCATCGGGCCGGACATGGCGGCGGCGCCCGCGTCGTCCCCCCTGCAGGGCGAGTGCGCCGTTAAAGAGTGTGCCGCCTGGAAACCGGGCACGCGCTGGGAGCAGACAGCGGTATTTCTTGTGTGACCGTACCGTTAGTTCCTGCCTGTTGAGGTGGCAAGCTTGGTATGAACGGGCGAGTACGCGGTAGGCAGCTCAAGATCGCTGCCTACACTGCATCGAAGCATCGCGGTCGCATTGGTCGATGAAATGAAGTAAAACTGGCAGTGTGTGCAGCGAAGAAGTGTGCTTTCGGAAGACATTTAAATAAGCCGGCTGAGAAACAAGGGTGCGGGCAAAACATGACATACAAGCATTTTAGATGCAGGGGTTTTCCTGCCGCAATAGCGGTATCAAGGCCTGCGCGGCGGTAGCCCAAGGCCCGATGCGGAGCCTGCCACTCAAGCCGCCGGCGCGTGGGTAGTTGGATGACGTCCGACAGGGAGCCGACGGCGGGCGTCACTTACGGCGGTGACGCGGCGGCCTGGCGGCCCCACCGATGCAGCGCAACAAGCAGCGAGAGGCACAACGCTAGCGGGGGCCCGGCCACCACCCGCATGGTGCGCCTGGAGTCTAGCTGGCTGCGGACACACAACCGTCTGCTCAGGGGACTGGGCGCGGCGCTCCACGACTGGGCCGGCAGCGGGCCGGGTGAAGATGCTGGTAGTGACATGCATGCAGGGCAGATGGCCAGTGGATGTACTTTTCCTATAGGCTACAAGAGCATGTAAAAGTTACCAGTTAAGATGTTTAACACCATGTTGTGTATGTGAGCAGTGGCAGTCACAGTGGCACTTGTCCCAAAGGGGGAGCATGATTATCAGGCACTGTGGGTCCAATGTGGATGGTACAGGAGATATTAAGTCATGTTTGGGTGAGTACATGAAGTGATAAATCATCATACATGATAAGCTATGACAGAACAAGGATGGCTGGACAGGTATACCAATTACCATGTGACTTCTTATGGATGCAACATCTTGTAATTATTAGCAACTAAACTGCTTCTATTAAAAAATGTTTTGGGTTCACACTCCCTTTGATAGCAACCCTGCCAGCTCTCTAGCTTAGAGAACAAGTTTGAGCAATTCTATTCATGTTGATATGCCTTGCCATATAAATCTGTCTGTTTTAATGTTGCAGCAAATGTGATCCACATGCAACTATCACACTTGGTAATGCAGAGCTCTACCTGTCTTACGTCATGTTGTCACATAGATCTTAGCAAATCTGATATTATTAAATATAATTTGGCTGTGTTCCGAGTGTGCCAGAATTGTCAACAGAATATGGTAATGGGCTCATCATATAATCACAAAAGTCTAGGTGATACCAAGTAGTTTGGCTTTGCACTGCACTGACTCACCAGAATGGAACTGTGAGACAACTCACACACAGACAATAGTGTCATGCTGCGCTAGGTTTACAGAGGATAGTGCATTATGGTGCAGTGTGATTGTGGGCATGTCACATGCATTTAAGGTATAATGCCAACACCAGCTGGGTGACCCTGCCATTTCAGACAAGTCCAACAATGCATCCATCTGGGACTTGTTACTCAGTGCTGCTGGATTCTTAGTTCCAGATGTTCCTCAAGACTGCCTTGTAGCAAACCATTTTGCAAACAGCATCCAGGGATACTATCCCAACACTAATGATGTGAACATGTTATTACAAGGAAAAGTGCTGTATTGACTGTTAAACCCCACCCCTGAAATTATATAAAAAGAAGCAGGAAAGTTTGTGGCCAGTGTGACATTTTTGTACATCAGTACCAATGTAAATAGTGACTGAAAGCAGGTGTGCATGTGCAATCTGCAGATTGCTGTAGGCTGTACCACGGTCTGAATACATTCGCAGATCACAAGGCGGCTTAAACTCTTTCCGCGAAATGGAATTTGTTTTACCTTGTATATAGTCAGAACAAACCAAGAGGGAAGCTACGCCCGCAGATATTTTGGCACCTAGCGCAGCAACCAACCACTCGCGCAGCGCGAGGTATCAACAGCCGGGCTGGTATGTTTTTGTTTTAGTGATGGGGTCCCGGCGAACGGTAATATAGCGTCGACGAACCTAGCGGTTGTTATGGGAATGAATGCAGAACACGCATTCTCATAGAAATGAATCCTTGTGCGTCTTCTCAAGTCAACAATATTTTGATATGGGACCAGCACTTACGCTTAAGACGTGTTTAAAACAATGTCATTAAAAAGTGATGCTCAAAACTGTTAAGCGAACTACTGGGTGGGTATGGAAACGATGCGTAACAATTTCGGCGCAGTTCGTTCATATATTTGGAGACGGCTGCTAATTTAAAACCCACCTTGCGCTGGGTTTCTTTACGAAGCTCCTAACGGGGCTAAGGAAGTTACGTATTCTGCATGGCATGATCGTGTTTGCATACCGAGAGTATGCAAGGTGCGTGACCAGAAGAACTTACTGACGATCGTTTGATCGGAGATTGGCCTAAATCGTTACCAATCCTTCAGTATTCGGTGCGGCCTTAGTCGTTAACCTGCACCCGCTCACAGTCGCCGGTCCAGGGTGGGTGCAGAGGGCCTATGCTTATTCGTTGTAACCCCCTCCCCCCACATCTGCGCATCGTGGGGGGGGGGGGGAAGCACAGTGCGTACCGCGTAGGTTCATGGGGCGCGTTCAGTTTGACAGAAATTGGTGGATCTACCGCTGGGAGGCCAAGTATTTCGGAGAACACGTAACAAAATGACTTCAAGCTGGCTGCTAAATGCGACCGAAGTCAGGCCCGAGAATACGATTTCAGTGACTAGCTAAAGTTAACTGACGTGGGACGAAATCAGCATGAAGTTGCACTTTGTAGGTCGCTGATCCCGCAGTGAATGGTTAAAAATAAAAGCAGTGACTTATGCTCTACACGAATGTTGAAACGTAATGGCGCAAACGGCACCGCATGACATGAATGTTGGAGGTATGGTAGTGGTGGCGGAACGTGGCGAAACCAGTGAAATTTGGAGGCTTGATGGCATATACTCTTGTGACAGAAAATAGGGACTACTGTCTGGAACATGTAAAATAAGTTGCATCGTGAACGCGGAAAAGAGCAAATGTAGTGCTGCATGCATCAAGTATCACGAATGAGTACGAAGATTTCCAAGTCGTGGGCTGCATTTTTTGAGTATTACAAATGAGTGGGGTAATTGTTAACAGTCGAAATCAGCATTGTGGTTTCGGTGATGCATAAGAAATATGGGCTTCACAGGTTGAACAGCCTAGTAAAATTAAATATGCCGCACCATCGGCACGCAAAATTGTCTTGCATTCGAACGTTAACATTTATTGGAAGACTGTTCACATTGTCATCTTCGGCAAAACTACTAATACTTACCGTCACCTCGCATATCTGGGACGTTGGCATCTGCGGGTGTTTGTACCTGTCTTGCTCGTACGTCCGTGCCCAAACAAAGATTGCCGGGTGCGCGCACCGTTTTGATAGTCATTGGCAGAGGGACACCAGTGTGGCTCACCAGGTCCATGTTCCAAACGAGGCGGGGGACATGATTCGGTATTGGGTCTTTTACTGACATGGGCCTATCCGTTGTCTCACCGGAGATCGTTTCATTGTAATTTATCATAGATCATTTCATTGTCAGAGGGCCCAGACCAAACGCCAAGGGCCCGTGACATTCGTGGTCCCGTCCCTGGCCCTGTTCAGGAAATGTGCCCCTGGAGAATTCGTTGCCAGCACAGTATCTCTTGTTAGGCGCTGTGAGCCCCAGATAAGCAAACAGATCCATTCATCGTTGCGGGAACCCCGACTAATGCGGCAGACTTTCATTGACATCGCAGGTCCGGCATTGGCTGTGCTTGAGACAGATGCGCCCGCGGCCCTGACCGACACCGAACTGACGATATTGGTGGTGGATAGTGGTATTGGTGGATATATGCTCGGTATTGGTAGTCTCTGCCTGACATAGAGGTCCTCGCTCTCCCAGCCCCCCCCCCCCCCCCTCCCATCGGCGTAAGAGGTCCTCTGACCTTGGTTATCGGCCCGATGGGCCGCTTTGGCTCTGAGGAAATTGAGGGTGGGGGGGGGGGGGGCGTATGTGCCCAGTGTTCCCCCGGAATTTAACCATGATGTGGCCCCTTACAATTTGGCTTCTCTTGAAAAGAAAAGTTTTGAGACCATTTGTAGTGCCGTCTGCTATTTGGTGTCAGGGTGTGCGTTACGGGGCGCCAGCGAAGGCTTTGGTTCCCATTCACCGACGGGGTCGGTCCAGAATTTTGCCAGGGTGGAGACATAGATGTTGTGGCGCCCTTGGAACATTGATTACCTGAAAATGGAGGTTCTGGTGCCCTTCGCAGTGCCCCTGGAATGTGGTGCCTCTTGAAAATAAGGATCATGGGGCTTGAAATGGATGTTTTGGGTACCACTTCGCCGAATGAGTAGATCCAAGATTTGGTCAGAGTGTGAGGCAGAGATTGGGGTAGCCGTGGAGTTTGGTTTGCCTGAAAAGAAAGGTTTGGGGTCCGTTAAGTGCCTGCCTTAGATTTGGTGCCCCTTAAAGTTAAAGGTTATGGTTCCACGCCATAAAGGTTTTGTTGCCCAGCCACCGAATGAGTTAAGCGGGGGTTTCGTCGAGGGCAGGCAAGGACATTGCGGTGCCTTGAAATTTGGTGCCTCTCAAAAATGAAAGGTTTTTAGGCGCTCTGTCGTGTCCCTGGAATTTGAAACAGCTGGCGAATGAAGGTCATGTGGTTTCGCGATGAAGATTTCGGTGTCTTTCACCATGATATTGGGTGCCGTGAAGGGGCACCTACATGTCATGGTGAACGGGCACCAAAGGTGTTTTGTCTCTGAGGGGGGCGCGAGTGAGGATTGTCTTCACCTAGGTATGCGAAGGCAGGTCTTGACAATCTATGCCCCAAACTCATGGTGTTTATTGTCAGCAGACGTTCATCGCTCGTTGTACCATATTGCCATGCTAAGAACCTGGTTCTTCCCGCACGCGGGAAGAACGCGCGCATGTCGTGCTGAGCCCCCGGCTGACGGCAGTGACACCGCCGTGTCGGCAGCTCGGGCGCCGCCCCTGCCGACGCATGTCGAGCTGAGCCCCCGGCTGACGGCAGTGACACTTGCCGCCGTGTCGGCAGCTCGGGCGCCGCCCCTGCCGGCGCATGTCGTGCTGAGCCCCCGGCTGACGGCAGTGACACTTGCCGCCGTGTCGGCAGACTCGGCGCTGATTGACCTGATGACGAGGTACGACGAGCCGGCACCGGACGCCACCGGCGTCCAGAAGACCCTCTGCCGCCACCCCTTCCAGGAGAAGATGCGCACCTACGTCAGCCCCTCCAAGGTGGTCAACCTGCACCGGGTGAGTGGGTGGTTCATCCGGTTCATCAAGAGTCCCTGTGCCGGTCGCACGAGGGTGGCCGCGTCCGTCGCCGCACTTAAACACAGCCGGTGGAGTCACGACCATGATGTTCACTGCTGACGGACTCTGTCAGTTCACCCACACAGTACAGCTATACTGTCTCCGATGTCGCCAACGGTTAGCCCAGAGGCCAGCATATGTCCGTCCGCGCCGGCTGAAGAGGTCACACAGCCGGCGCAAGTTGGGCGGCCTGGCCGGACGTACACTGCTGTTTTGATCGGAGTGGCCGCCCCGGTCTGTATCAGCCGGCACAAGTCGGGCGTGCTGGCCTGACGTACAGTGCTGTTTTGATCGGAGTGGCCGCCCCAGTCTGTATCAGCCGGCACAAGTCGGGCGCCCTGGCCGGACGTACAGTGCTGTTTTGATCGGAGTGGCGGGCCCGGTCTGTATCAGCCGGCACAAGTCGGGCGTCCTGGCCGGACGTGCAGTGCTGTTTTGATCGGAGTGGCCGCCCCAGTCTGTATCAGCCGGCACAAGTCGGGCGGCCTGGCTGGACGTACAGTGCTGTTTTGATCGGAGTGGCCGGCCCAGTCTGTATCAGCCGGCACAAGTCGGGCGTCCTGGCCGGACGTACAGCGCTGTTTTGATCGGAGTGGCGGGCCCCAGTCCCCGCTGACGGCGATAGTTGGGTCAATGGACCGAGCCGGACTGGGGCCGAGGGCGCCGGGCTGCAACGACGCCCGCGCACCGACCTCGACCGGTTACCGCGCGCTTGCCGGGGACTGCCGAACGGCTGGCCGACGCTCGCGCTGTGGCGCCGGCCGGCCGGGGCCGCCCCGTCCCGAGCAAGGCACGTCCGTCACTGACCGCACGTGTGATACCACGTGGCACAGGGCGGCACGTGTCGGGCTGGCCTGTGACGGGCGGTTGTGCTGTGGTTGGCAGACTTACTGGAAGGACAACAAGGTGCAGCTGCCGCTGCCGACGCTCTTCGAGGTTCGGCAGCGCGTGCAGCAGTCGCTGAGATGTCTGCGCAAGGACATCAAACGCAACCTGAACCCGACGCCGTACAAGGTGGGTGGACGGCGGACGGCCCGGTGGGCGGCGGGCGATGTCACGGTCGGCCTCCGCCCGGGCCGGCCGATCGTCACCCTTCCCGTGACGTTTGGCTGCAGCTGGTGACAGCTGTGTTTGACCCCGATCGCCGGCTGGCAATGTGGCTTGTCGACTCGTGTAGCCGCTCAGGTGAACAGGTCCAGCTGTTCACTTTGGGTTGTGATGCTGTGTACGGTGCACGCCGTGTGAGAAAGAGGTGTGTGGCCGTCGGATCGTGGGTCTGTGAATGACACCGTGCTTCTCGCGCTGGTAACCGGCGTCACCTCTCCCGTGCGAGGCTTTGCGCCACTGGCTGGTCCGCCCGGCAAGCCCTTTATAGATCGAACTTGAGATCGACTAAGATAGACTGAGATCGAACGAGATGGAGTGTAAAGCAGTCAATCAATTTTAGATCCAATGCATCCCCCAATGCACCTTTTCGACGGAAGCTTAATGTAATCCATACTCTACAGTCCTTCGTAACAAATGATTGGTCTGCTGGTAGCCCATATGAATAGGTACATTACGGTTCAGCGAAATATTGTGGATCATTTCTAGTACTCTCAAGAACACACACATCAATTAGAATGTGGTCTTAATGTATTACAGTCGTTTTGGTCTGAGGCCCAAGTCCGTCCTCGCCGGTTTTCTGGAATGTAGTCATATACAACCCAATCCATTACATGGATTGATCCATAAACTATGGATTCCTTTAATCCTGGAAGAGCTACGCCTGCGCCCCTTCGATTATAGATGATCGTGCCGTTGAAGCTGCACATCGCCACATCCCGCTAGTCTTCTGTTTCGGATTTTGTGTCCCGGATTGGAGCGTGAAGGATATTAAAGATTTGGAACAGAAGTTGTTCGTCTGGGAAGTTACCAATTGCAACCGAATGTACTTTTGGGCCTTTTTAAAATTCCGACGTGTGTGACCCGTGCCTTTGGTTTAGGTGGGCGTGTCCGTGGAGCTGTACAAGTTCCTGCACGACCTGTGGCTGGAGCACGCGCCGATTGGGGAGCTGGTCTGATGGCCGCCGACCGCCCGTGGCTCGGCTCGAGCCAGCCGGCCACATAGCATCACCACACGGGCACGGCAGCAAGAGCGCTGCGGAGGCGTGATGCAGCCTGCCAGCCACGCTCCGGTCCGAAGACACGGCTGTCGCCAGCGTCTAACCCGCCTGTAGACGTATGGTAGATGATGACGTTCGCATTGACGCCACATTGTGGCTCGGCGGGATTTCCGCCGACACTACGTTGGTGTTTCGCATTGCGCCTTTGACGTTCACTGCTTTCTTTGACGCTTGCCTCTTCAAACGCTGTGTCGCAGTCGCCATTTGAGTCTCCTTTTTATCAACACCACGTTTTAAGAGAGCGTTGTTTAAATTAGTGGTAACGACATGTGTTAGCGCGACACCGGTTGAACTTTCCATACTTGAAATGCAAGTAGCCGACTAAAGTTGCGCTGCGTCAGCATTGTCCGCCATAATGCTAAGCTTTGTAAGCTGCCAGCATTACCTTGTTAAAAAGCGTTGGTTACCTTGGTCGAGGTAGGCCCATGCAATTAGTGCCGACGGTCGTATTGCAATGCGACGTGGCGCGTCGGCTTGGCTTTGAATCCGCGCCGAACCACATGGCGAGTACAAAGTCTGCCAATACTCCTGGATTCGCTGTATGATGATGGATTGCATATATTTTCTTGTCAGGCATCACATACATCCGAAAATGTGATGGTGCTGCTTACACGGCTCGTGCTTACTAAACGTAAACATGGACTCTCCGCGATAGATAGCTGAAAACTAATCTTTGAACCACGTTCCAAATTGTACGCACAAATTGGGTACGATGCGAGAAAAATAGTTATTCTGGTGAACTGCTTTGCGAGATGTGGCAAATGGTCGTTTAAGCAATAACAAATATAGAACTTGCAATTTGACTCCTGTATCACACGTTTTGCAAGTTGCAGTATATCGCGGCTTGTTCTTTTTCTGTGAGTCATGTAGTGTATGCATTCCAACAGCCTGTGCGTCGCTATTCGTGTGCTGTGTATTGCACGGTTTTGGTGGCCTTCATTCGTTGTTGGCGCCGGTTTGGAATGCCTGCGGTATGGGTATTGAGCTAATAAATATTCCAGTTTTCATGACCTTGAACTTTTTTGAACTTTTTCACGAACTTGAACTTTTTGAACCTTTCATGATCTTGTTTATATGCGGATGCTCGAAGTCTGAACGGAGGTTTAGTGTTGATATATATATATATATTTATATATATATATATATATATATATATATATATGTATATATATATGTATATCGGTTTATCTGGGCAGAATATTTTCCTTTATGGCTGTTTGATCAAAAACGACCGCTAATTCAGCATTAGCGCGCTCCTTGATGCATCGTTCGAGGTGCCGGGCTTTTGACTTCGTAGAATCGTTAAGAAAGATATTGTTCGCACAAAGTCCCTCAATTGTGTGTGGATATCTGTACGTTCTAACGTTTTGACACTTAATCTCATCGTCGAAGAAATATAAATGACACAATAAAAAGGTTCGGCGTTTTTAGGGATGAAAGTTGAGCATTACCATTTCAAGAACATCTCTTAGTACGGATAAGAACCAACTACCTATCGATACTTGGATACGTATAAAGTGCACCACTAATGAAAACACTACGATACACATAGCCACAAATGATATTCACAGCAGGTTGTTACCACCCACCACCCAATAGCTCAAGAGCTATCATACATTTGTTTAGGGATAAATGTAATTCGTTTATAAATGTGTTTCCTCAAAGTTGAAGGTGTCTTCGGTCATTGTACGTATAAAGAATGTCAACGTTGTCTGTCAGTTGTGTTAATGTCCTGACGTGTTCGCGTCGCACAGATTCATGAGGTGCCCCGCCGTGTAAGTACATTGTCAAACGTGAGAGTGACGTGGTTACACCAATTTGGTGTATGAAACGAAGTTTGCAGCCTTAACGAGCACATTTGAATTGATACAACACATTAGTGCATTTAAGCCGAGCGGGTTTGTCAGGAATGCTTTTCATACAAAAGTTGGAGGTTCTCCTGTTGCGATAATAAATGCAATGTCTATTCTGAGGGCGTTCCTGCCTTGACGGGTCGAGGGACAATTTCCCGAAAAACGTTTTCCGTCTTACTTGTGGGCAGATATTCTTTGATTTTAATAACATAATTGGGTAGCACGTCGTCTTTCTTTATTGTCAAAGTGTTCCGTCATATGCCGCATTTCGTTTTCAACGTCAGAGTTTAAAAATCACTTCACCAAGATTTTTCTGATCTGTACCAGTTATGGATGCATTCCTCTATAGTCAGAGCAATGCCTAAATGCACGTCCAAGGAATGGCCGTTGTCCATCAACAGACACGTCAAGAAAGGTTACTGCATTTTGCACATGCAGGCCTTTTTGTGAGTTCGAGGCCAGAATCTTGAAACATATTTTTGAGACGTGGTTGGTGAGTATCCTTATCTTCACAAATATAGCAGCTCCAAGGACGGCGGTAAATTCCCGGCCTTCTGTCGTGACCTTGTGGTTCTGTCGGCTTCAACAGTGCCCCATAAAAGAGATTATCGAATAAAACTCCGAGAGGGGACCGATCGCAGGACCCTCAATTTGGCACTGCAGTCGTCCATCAGGCCCGCGAAAATGCACTCCCAGTCTAAAGGCTTCTAGCGATTGTTTACAGGCTTCTAGCGATTGTCTACAGGCTTCCAACGATTGTCTACAGGCTTGTAGCGATTGTTCAAGAAGGCATCGTGATATTCTGAGGAGGAAGTTCGGTATGATTGAATACGCGATGAACGGTGATGGATATGACTCTTTCCATGGACACGTTCTATTTTTTCATCCAGAGAGGCTAGCAGACCCTTAGGTAAAGGAGGTTGGTCACGCAATATCAATAAACTCGTCTGTTGACGATAAGCTGTAGGACATGGAAAATATGGTGAAAAAAGATCATCAAGACGCTTTGTATTCCCATAAGCTGATTAAGGGATCTGTGAAATTAGACGAAAGGGGTTGCCATTCTTGTGAGTTTCTACGGATCTACAAGCGTAACCAGGCGCAAATTCACTCGTCATCTTGGAGAAGTCTAAGCCATCAACAGTGGCATTACTAGCAGTGATCAGTTTGTTAGCTTAGTGTGGTGTTTGTCTGTTGGATCTTTTGAGATGCGACAAAATTTCGAAGTCTCTCGGTGTTATTTGAATAATGACTAAAGGCCTGTGCGGTGAAAGTTCCCTTTCGCGGGCCTGATGTACGAAGGTATGGCCCAATTGAGGGTGTTGAGATGGGCTCTTCTCTTGGACCTTCAGTGCAGTATTTCGTTATGGGAAAGATAGAAGCCGACATGCTACAACGTGGCGTCATAAGACCGGACATTTACTGTCGTTACGCAGGCGGTATCTTTGTGGAACTGATCAACTAGAAACGTCTCAAAAAGGCCTTTGAAAAGTGATCTGGCTTAAATGCAATGCTCCACATTTGGAGATATTGAGGCAAGCATGAAATATGGTGAAATAAACGTCCTTATAACTAATGGTATACTTTTAAGTGGAAAAGACCTGTAAAGACAACACCATTTCTCTATATAGTACATATGCTCCTCATTACGTCCTCGTTTGATTGGGTCACCGAACCTTGCGCAACATTGATTGAGAGCCAGCTGACGTCATCACGTGAGCCATGGGCCATGAGCATGACGAGCCGTGAGCCATCACGTCACGTGAGCCAGCGGTTATTACATCTAGAAATTGCGCTAACGTACGCCAGATACGAAAGATTCGACAATATGTCATGGCCTCGATCGTCACATGGCTGATGGAATGACAGGGTATAAATGACATTATGTCGTCATGGATGCTTGGGTGACCTTAAATTGTCTCTCCCAAATAGTCTGTACATCTTTGCGGGCGTGCAGCCCGGAAACTATAATGGCTTAGGTCTTAAGAAGGGCATGGCTGTGAGGTGCACCGAACGATATTCAGATGGATAGTTCAGTTTAAAACACCATACAAATGTGAAACACTCTCTTAAAGAATTCACAGGAGAACTGAGTGCGCATAATGTAATATCCTTTTTTAGCGCGACTGTTGATGGAGAGGGACGACGATTCGGAACGACTGTGTACAGCAAACAGACTAATAATGGACGGTGCTCAGATGCTGGCGGTGAGTGTCCTCGACGCTACAAAATTAGCGTCATGAGATCGTTCCTCAGACATGCATTTAAGCATTGCACTGATTAGATAGGCTCACATTCAGATCTGGTGCGAATCAGACCAATATTCATTAGGCGTATTTACTTCGTGGTTCTTGGTGAATAACACTTCAAATACTGATATTGAAAACGAAGTACAACGACATAATGACAAACCACTTTGGCAATCAGCCAAGACATGACAAACAAACCGTCTCATGATACTTTCAATATGAAAGGTTTCTTCTATTACGCTATACTAAAGGCTATACTATATAGCTACATTGACGTAACCACGACACTCCCACGACGCCTCACCTCTTGGTTTTTCTCCAATGAATAAGGTTATTGCTACTGTCTTGTGTAGTGACGCACAACTTTCATCCCATAAAACGCAAGTCTCATCACTTGTGACATTTACGTTTTTCCGACAATGAGAAAAGGTGTCAAAACGTTAGAATGTCCAGATATCGAGAAACCAGTGAGTAATTTCGTGCGAACAATATTGCATCTCAGCGATTCTTCTAAGTCAAAAGCCGGCACCTTGACCGATGCATTAAGGAACCTACTAATGCTGAATCGGCGGTTCTTTGATCAAATATGCATATATATGTATATATATATATATACATATATATATATATATATATATATATACATATATATCAAAGTAGGAAAAATTGTTGCGAATAGCCTAGCAGCAATTTGATCAAAAAATCTAAACATGAATACAACTTCTATAGGAGGCCCATAAACTGGCTGTTAAAATGCGCCGTTAAATGGTGTAACCGAAGAAATAACATAGTCGTCTTGCTTTCCGTGGTCAGCCGAGACGCCGGATGTGCCCAACCTTGGGAAGCGTGTTTTGTAAAATCTTTTAGACTTAAGGTCAAGTCCGTTCCAGATGACATTTACCGGGATTTCCGGGAGGCTCAGATTCAGCGCGCCCGGGTGGACAATCTAGCGGCCTCGACCTATCCTGGATGGAAGTTATTCATGGACCAAACGGGCGTACGTGCCGAACCGTCGGGCTAGTGTTTACTTGGGTGGAGAGGGAGGAAGAGAGGCATGGCCCACCAGTGGTTTCACACATATGCTCCACGAGGGGTTCACGGAATTCAGAGAAAACTTAACCTGTCCTGAAAGGACTTCAGAGTAGGCTCTGGCGGCCTGCCAGATCTGGGTCAGGCCTAACCGGATTCGAGTTATAATTCTATACTAATCCTACGTCACACTGGAGAAGCCGTTTCTGTCGGGTGCCGGAGGCTACGTGGCTCATGTTACGCCGGACACTTATCGGACACTTATCTTGGGAGGATTTCGCTGTGCCTGCAGAAGGTTCCGTTCACCTTAGATGAGTCTAATGTATCCCGATCTACACAGAACTTAGAGAAGACACTAGGTCTGGTGCCAGTCAGCCTCTTGTCTTGCTGAAGACTGCGTAGTATCGGGGAAAGGTCTCGTCACCCCTGACGCATCCGTGTAGTTATATAAGGGCCTCACTAAACGCTGACTATCGAACAATGGTCGCCTCCAAAGGGGATGTCCTGCAGGCATTCCGCGACTGTGCGAAAGGTTATCGCTGGCTTCAGCAGATGCACTCCGAGATAAGTACTCAGGCAGTGTTAGGGCCGAACCCTAACATTTGTGTGTAGCTTAAGCCACTCACAAGGTGACATGCCAAGCCAGCAGACAGGACACGCCGTGATGGCATACTCAGCCTGCCTACAAGGCATTTTTTGTAATCTTCTGCTCCTGGTGAGCGCAGGCTCGACACCACAACTACAGCGCACCGTCGAAACTTCTACTGATTCCAGTTGTTGAACGAAGCAGAGGTGAGACGGATAGTTTGGACAAATCAAAGTGCGATGGCAAGGAACAATTCAGTGTGCAACGGCTACGCGCCAATAAAGCGATTATTTTTTA